CAAACCTCTGCGATTGCGGGAGAGTACAGACACCAGATCACCTTCTCCTATACTGCTGGCACTACAACACAGAAAGGCAAGCGCTAAAAGCAACTCTTCGCGAGAACTACCTAACAATCCAACTACTCCTCCACACTAGCAAAGGCAGAGAGGCGACTTTAGCTTTCATTACTAAAACTAGAGTAGGGACTAGAGGCTGGCATCTAGGCCAAGAACAAGATAACTAAAAATAAGCGAGAACAGAGAGACACTACCTAAAACTAATAATAACTAACAAACTTTCTTAAGTTACTTTCCTTAGCCCTAAAAGAGCTCGCTGGAAGACAGCCCTGCTGTCTAACATCTCTTCCTGTTTACTAAACTGCTCTTTAGCAACTGGAGTCCGCTTTAAGCGCAGCTAGAAGCGACTAAACCGCAGCACAATAGCAGTACTATACAGAGAACACTCTCACTTTAAACAAATTGTACCTAGAACGGCCTCTGGCCAAAGTCTTACATAGTCACTGACTGCAGATAGACTCTAATGGAATAATAATAATAATAATAATAATAATGACTGAAGCGAAGCTAATCATTTTTTCGCATCTCTACTCAAGGCAAGCTGACTTGACGCGGCAACAGCGATTGCCAGAAGTTCGTCGTGTTAATTGGTGAGCAAAATAACGTGTTTCACCAGTAAGCGGGCCACCCCAGTATGTGGGCCACTTCCCTATGATATCCCACCTTTGCAACAACAACGCGTAATGTCTCAACAACGCAACGCGTTAAAAACTTATACTAAAGCAGATCTATTTCTTACTATTACTAATCTTAATTCTAAACAAATTTAGAGTAAACGACGCGCTGCTGCCGCCTATAGCGTCCCACGAACAACAATCCAGCGTCGACGAGCTGGACAGCGCCCTCGAAGCGATTAGGAGCCACCAGCAAGGCGCCTAACAAAACTAGAAGAGGAGGCTATTACTATGCGTGTAATAGTCGAGGCTGAGCGAGGACTACCCTGTGGGAAAGACGACGTGCGAGATATGGCCAACAGACTGCTCCGAGAGCGTGGCGGGAAGGAGGTGGGCAAGAACTGGGTTGATAGGTTTGTCCAGCGCAATCCTGAGCTGCGTACGCGCTGGAGCCGTCCATACGATCACCAGCGAGCTCTCTGCGAAGACCTAGCGCTTATTAAGGGCTGGTTTAAGCTAGTTTAGAATATAAAGGCAAAGTATGGTATCGTAGACGAAGATATCTATAACTTTGATGAGACTAGCTTTATTATAGGCAAGATTTTATCACAGTTAGTTATCACAGGCTCAGACAAACTAGGGAGAACAAAGAAGATCTAGCTAGGCAATCGTGAGTGGGTTACGCTGATATAAGGCGTTGGCGCAACAGGCACGCGTATCCTAGCGTTTCTTATCTTCGCTAGCAAGGTTCTAATCTCTACCTAGTTCACGGAGGATCTGCCACGCGACTAGGTGATCTAAGTTAGTCCTACTAGCTAGACGAACAACGATCTAGCGCTTGACTGGCTTCGTCACTTTGATTCCCATGCGCGGCCTGTGGGGACGCATAGGCTGCTTATTATTGACGGCCATGAGAGCCACTGCTCGGTGGATTTCCGAGATCTCTGCGAAGAGATGAAGATAATCCTCCTCTGTATGCCTCCCCACTCGTCGCACCTCTTACAGCCTCTTGACGTGGGCTGCTTCTCGCCGTTAAAGCGCGCGTATGGTGATGCTATCTTAGTCTTAGCACGCAATCGCATCTACTATATTAGCAAAGAAACCTTTCTACTAGCGTTTAAAAAGGCCTATTATAAGGCTATTACACCAGAAAATATCCGCGGAGGGTTCTAAGGTGCTGGACTTTCACCACACGATTATAACGTTGTTTTATCACAGCTTAACGTCATGCTGCGTACGCCAACTCCACTAGCGCAAGAGACTACTGCTTGGGAGCCGAAAACGCCGCGCAACGCGCGCGAAATAGAGGCGCAGGCTACGCTTATTTAAAACTGTATGCAAATCTAGCAAGGGTCTCTTACAAGTTCTCTTAAGGAGCAGATACAGTAGTTAAGTAAGGGAGCTTAGTCACCAACACTAACTTCGAGTTTTCTGGAAACCGCTAGGAAAGCACGCTATCTAGGAGAACCGACCACGAGGAATCGACTAACAGCACTTTTAACACCTGCAGCTAAGGCGCTAGCGCGCAGTAGGGAGAAGAAGGAGGCCTTCCTTCGTTATCTCACGCCTGTGAGAATTTTCTCACAGAGCTTGGGCTCTAATGCCAAGACTAGAGGGGCCAATAGGAACGCAGGAGCTTATTGAAGCTCAAATTTAGCAAGAAACACAGACATATCAAAACAATAAAAATAACAAAAAAAGACTAGCCTCAAAGGACCTTAGAGGCACAAGCAAACGACTAATGGATAATAATCCAGAAATCGAGATGGCTGAGGAGGCCCCTACGCCGTGCCCTAACAGGCAACCAGAAGAACCGCCTAGGCCTACCCATACTAGGACAAGAAGCAATTTTTCTCCGTTTATTGGAGCAGTGCCAAGATACCCTACAGTAGGGAAAACACCAAAGGCAACCTCTATTGAGGAGGCCTTAGAGATTGCTAGAAACCTAGTAATCCAAGCAGCTAACCTAGCTGAGAACAACCCTACTAGGCAAACTAGTTTACTAGACCTTGTAGAAGTCTTTAGAGACTTTACAGAGAACGGCAGAGTAAACAAAAAAAACTCTACAATTCTAGGAGACCAAATCTCCTCTCTATCTAACGTCTCTAAAGAACTAAGAGAGAAAGTTAGAC